TAGGGACAGAAGTGTCCCTCTCCTCCCCCCCCCAGAGCCCTGTCATTGTTATGTAAGCCCTGTCACCACACTGCACTGAGCTGCCCTCCTTCGTAGAAAAGTAACAAGGAGCGCACAGAAAGAGACAGAGGGAGATAGAAGAATACTTTGTAACCACCCTTGGCACACCCAGACAATTCCATGTCATTGAGCCGGGCACGGCGGGTTATCGGAAGGTGATGTGGAAATCCACTAGCAGTGACCCAGCAGGTATGACAAGGAAGGCAGAAGGGCAGAGGAGTGCAACAACAACAACACTGACAGTCTCCAGGAGACACGAATAGCAGGCAGCTCCTCCTGAGAGCCATATACAGGCCCTGTGCGGGCTCCTTCTACTAGATCTACTATCATGAAGGATGGCATTATCCAACACTTCCATAACAACTCCTACAAAACATGAAAACGTATCGCCTTCCTTTCATTGATCCATAATCAATACCTACAATCATCAATACCTATGATCATCAATACCTAGAATCAACAACACCTGGAATCATCAATACCTAAAATCATCAATACCTCGAATCAACAATATCTATAATTGTCTATACCTACAATCATCAATATCTAAAATCATCATTACCTACAATCATCAATACCTACAATCATCAATACCTACAATCGTCTATACCTACAATCGTCTATACCTACAATCATCAATATATAGAATCATCATTACCTACAATCATCAATACCTAGAATCGTCTATACCTACAATCATCAATATATAGAATCATCATTACCTACAATCATCAATACCTAGAATCGTCTATACCTACAATCATCAATATATAGAATCATCATTACCTACAATCATCAATACCTAGAATCAACCATTTCTACAAATCATCAAGCTATACCTAATAGCAATCATCAAGATCTACAATCATCAATACCTATACCCAATACCAATCATCAAGATCTACTATCATCAATACTTATACCCAATACCAATCATCAATATCTATACCTAATACCAATCATGAATAACTCTACCTAATACCAATCATCCGGATCCACAATCATCAATACCTATCCCTAATACCAATCATCAATAACTCTAACTAATACCAATCATCCGGATCCACAATCATCAATACCTATACCCAATACCAATCATCAAGATCTACAATCATCAATACTTATAACCAATACCAATCATCAAGATCTACTATCATCAATACCTATACCCAATACCAATCATCAAGATCTATCATCAATACCTATACCCAATACCAATCATCAAGATCTATCATCAATACCTATACCCAATACCAATCATCAAGATCTACAATCATCAATAGCTTTAGCGTATTTACAATCACCAATACTGATAACCAACAATATCTATACAATAATCAATAATAGATCAATACATATACAATTTGCCAGCACCCATGTGAGGAGGACTACATTCTCTCAGCTTTCACACAAGCTTGAGGAGCTGGTAGTTTCAGCCATGTGACTGTCATTGTCAGATCTCATTGGACATTGCTGAAAGTCACTTCAGTAGTGTCAGCTTTGTGAATGGCGCTGAAGACCTCTGTCACATTGGCCGTGGCGTAAATGCGTGTATTGGACACTTCTAAACGTATACAAATGCATGGAATTATTTCAAATTCACATTACTAAAACTGGAGCAGACAGAACCTGGAGCGGCTGTGCATGGTAACCAATCAGCTTCTCTCTTCAGCATGTTAAGCTTTGAAAATAAAATCTAGAAGCTGGTGGGTTGCTGTGCATGGCCACTCCATATTCTGTCTGCTCCAGTCTTATTAAATTCCCCTCAATGTGCGTTTACCTGCAATCAGTTTAGCTGCATTTAGAGAAAATAGAATTCTGTGAGTCCGGGGCGGATTCTGAACCCGCATTAAAACACACGTCAATGTAAGTTCATCTGAATGCAGGAGAACTTAGCATAAAGTTTGTCTACACTCTCCAGATAATGTAAATAAATCAGAACGCAGGGGACTCAAAAACCAAAATGCAGGAGGCTCAAAAACCAGAACGCAGGGGGCTCAAACCTAACGAAGGGGGCTCAAACCTAAGAGAACTATGGGGTTAGGGCTTTTCCCCATAGTTCTCCTAAGGGTAACAGGAAGAGACAAACTAGCGTCCTCCCGTCACCCTAAGCTTAGTATACCGCGGGCTACAGCTCGCAGTATACTGAGACGCCACAGCTGAAGCGGATCCCGACAATTCTGTCTGGATCCGCCCAGCTGCGTGAGTCACAACAGGCTCTGACTATCTGGAGGCAGAGCCAGCTGTACCCGCCCCCTCCCCCGTCTCTTCCGCCAGTCAGCGCTGGAGGATCAGAGCGGGGAGGGGGTATCCAGCCCCTCCCCGTCACGGCAGAGAGCCGACACAGGATCGAGAAGTGAGCGAACGCCGGTATGTGTTCGCTCACTTCCCGACCGACTGAGGCGACCTGTGACAGTCTCATTGTCACAGGTCGGCTCAGATTATGAGGATGAGTGATTTGCACTCACCTCATAGTTCTCCTTTAAATCTGCATCTTCAGATATCACTTGCTGATCCTGCCATGTTGAGACACTTCCTATCACAGGGTGACAAAGCTCAGTCCTTGTATTCCAGTTATCTCCTGCGTTGTCACCCTAGCTTCTGGTGAAGACAAGTGACCATTTCAACACACATTGAGGAGAAATGAGCAAAGCTGGCCGCACACTGTGCCAATTTCTGACAGTTCTTGATGAACCGAAATTCTCACAGTGGGTGCCGTTGTCGGCAACCTTTCGGCTGACTGATGGAGTCGGTTGGAACGAACAGAGCGGGCAGCCAATCAGCTACCAGCTCTGTTTGGGTATTCGGACAGTGTTGATGGAGGAGTCTGTTATATTCTCTTTGCTCAGCCTGCAGATTGAACAAAGAAAACATTACAGTGTACGGCCAGCTTAAGAATGGAGCAGACAGAATGTGAAGCAGCAGGAGATGGCAACCAATCAGCTCCTAGCTTTCATTGTCAATGGTTACCTGAACAAGCTGAAGATAGAAGCCGATTGGTCACTATGCACAGCTGCTCCAGTTTTAGTAAATCCCCCCATTATCCCCTGTGGAAATGCCATGCAGGCATCCCTGGAGTATAGGCAGACAGGAAGCGGATGCAAACAGGCGGCAGGAGATCAGCAGCTGTCATCAAGTGTTTATTCTAGTACAGATGTCAGTATAGGATGCACAGTGTGGGGTTTACATTCAGGTCCCAGGGCTCATAGCCAGTGATGGAAGTGACCGAGTCCCTGCTGTTCATATGAACACTGTAGTATGTGAAGGGGCGGTGACTGATGTGGGAAGAAAGTTCATACACAAGCAAACTACACACATCACACTACCACAACAGTCTGTTGATGCGGCGCGCACACACACACGATCATCATCATCATCATCACCACCCTACGATCTGATCCAATCCATGTCATAATAATAAACAGCACAAGGCAGAAAAGTCCCCAGCAATGCCCATCACATGCCATGCCCATCCCAATCATATATTGTAGAATAAAAGACCCAAGAAAGGAGCTATGACGTCAGCACACAGGTATGTCATCATTCCTGACCTGGTCATATTTGGACTTTGGGAGGATTGCAGGAATAAAGAAAAGCTGGGAGTGTGGTGTTGCATGAAATGCAGTGCAGCCTATGGAGACAGCCCTGTCTGAGTCTGTGTCTGGGTGGGAGCTGGAAGTACATACACAGGAGGGAGACCAGTGCCCCCCCCCCCCCCCCCCACGCCAGGCGCAGAGGTGAG